GAGAGAGAGAGAGAGAATGTAATGAAGAGAAATAAGTTCAGTAACTCTGCGATGCCACTTTATAGAAATAACTAGGTCCAAATGAAATGATTATTTTATGAACAAGTTAACTTTAGTTTGTATTCATAATAAATGGGTCCAAGATATCAAAAATTAGGCTATTCAAAGATCGGAAGCTTTAGATATAAACAACTTGCATCCCAGCAAGGGGAGGGCTATGCAACCAAAAATATGCCGCCCTTAAAAGGGGCCCAGGACAACGAGTCAAAGGGCCCGAAAAGATACTCAAAACACTTCCAAAATCAGAGGCCAACAAACACAAGAGGGGTTGATGGGTTGTCCGGTGATGATGTGGCGGCCTCCTTAGCGAGGGCATGGGCTTCCTGGTTTGATTCCTGCCAAGTATGCCTCCATAAGACGAGCATATCTCTGCAGAGGTGTGCAATTTCAACAAAGATGTGAGCCAGTGACCAAGGATTGGGAGCAGATCCAGATGCCCAACTTATTACATTCTTAGAGTCTCCCACAATCATAAATGACTAATTCCACTAAGGGTCAAGCAACTTGAACTCCTCAAGTAATGCCAGCTTCTGCAATCTGGCACCCAAAAGGGAGAGCCTAAACGATATTTATGCCACAAAATCTGCGTCCACAGCTGGTCCTGTTGGGTGGCAACGCGCCACCACCATTTTTCAAGCATGGCCGTGTTGTCCTTCCTCAGTTTTCGAATGCCAAGTCCCCCGAGAGGCTTAGGTTGGCAAAGTTTCTCCCAGGAAATTAGGAGGAAATTGTGGGTGGTTGCCTCGCCCGACCAGAAGAATATGCGAAAAGTTGCTTTAGTCAACAAGTAATGGCGGCCAGCCTGCGGAAGATGGACATCTAATACACAGGGATATTGGCAAGGGTAGCCTTGATGTGCGTTAATCTCCAAGCTGGGCAAAGAAAATGGCCCTCCATCTTGCAAGTTTGCGGTCCACTTTGTCGATGATACGAGACCTTGAACTCTTCTTGGGTTTGCCGATGCAAAGGGGCATTCCCAAATAATTTGAAGGGAGGGATTCTGCTTGGCATCCCTAATTGTCCGCCAAGGACTTAGTGATTGGAGATCCAAGGAAATCCCCATCATCTTGGATTTGTTTAGGTTGACTTTGAAGCCCATGGCAAACTCGAAACATCTTAGGAGGAGAAAAAGATTATTGCATTCCTAACGGGATGCGTTACAGAATATGAGGGTATCATCCGCGTATTGGAGGTGGGTGGCAACAGGCCCTGGCTTCCACACTTAAAGCCATGTGTTCTTCTTGTAGAAAACATCCTTGAGATGGACTGGCTTAAAACCTCTACCTATATAGCGAAGAGAAACGGGGAGAGGGGATCACCTTGCCTGAGTCTCCTAGAGGAGGGGAAGAAACCTTTGTGTGATCCATTTATGAGGACGGAGAAGAAGGGTTGGGTATAACACGCTTTCAACCAGATCCTCCATCGACTACCAAAACCCATTCTATAAAGTGCCTCATCCAAAATAGCCCAATCTACATGGTCATACACTTTTTCCCAATCTAACTGATAACTAGATCGAGTAGTTTCGCTAAGTGTCTTGACTGGATGCATTTGTGCGCTACTAGAGCCCCATCTAGGATTTGTCGGTCCTTGACAAAAGCACTTTGAGAGGGGGAAATAACCAGGGTCAGGACCTCCTTTAGGCGAGTGGCTAGGACTTTGGAAATAATTTTGTAAGTGGAGTTGATAAGGCTGAATCGACGGTAGTCTTTAAGTAGCTTGGCTCCTTCGATTTTTGGGACGAGGGTGATGAAGGTAGCATTCATAGCCCTTGGATGATGCCCATGGAATGGAATTCTTCAAAGAGAACTAGGAGTCATTGCGGAGAGAGTCCTAGAAAATTTAAGGGAGCCATCGAAAAGCCATCGGGTCCAAGGGCCTGATCAGAAGCAAGTTGGTTGATTAGCTGAAAGGATTTCTTCTTCTGAGAAGGGTCTCTCCCACCACCATGCTTTTTCGGGCGGGGGGGGGACAAAGAAAAGAGAGAGGCTGGGATTCGTCCGTGATGTAGGGTTGAGGATTTCTGGTCTTGGAAAGATCCATGCAGCTGATGACTCCAAACTTTCAAAGAAAACTTAAGACGCTGAAGTTTACGTTGAATCATGAATCCTGCCCAGCGGTGGACAGACGAGGAGAGAGAATCCCACCAAGTATGGAAACGAGACCTTAATGAGCATTCTTCTAACCAAGCCAGTTTAAATATGAATGGTTTGGGGCCTCTAGATGCTAGGTTTGTGTCCAACAGAATTGGGCAATGATTGGAAGTGGGTTTTGGCATAGTAAAAATGTGGGACCCAGGAAAAGAGGAGTCCCAGTCGACACTGACCAAGAAACGTTCGAGTTTAGAGAGGGTAGGGGAGGTGGAGTGGTTGGACGACATGAATTGGGCGCCCTGGATCGGAATATCGAGTAGTTGTTATGGGAGACAAAATCAGAGAAATTCAGCATGGCTTGAGAAATCCTAGAACTAGTGTTCCTTGCATGAAATGTAAGAACACCCTTGACTTCAAAAACTTTGAACCCAAGCATTCTAACCATCGAAAACCGCCTCTCTCTAAAAGTTATTTCCCATTGGTTAACCAACCTTCTTCCTCTCAATCATTGGTGTACACAAAAAATTACTATCCAGGTCAATCCTATTACCACAAAAAATTATTAATATCTTAAACATCTTCAAATAATAAGACATAACTTTTAAAATTATGAATATTATTTCTTTACCGAAGTATATTATTTTATTCAATGTTCAAAACGCAAAGGCAGCTGCCTAGGTGGTTTGGGGTCTAGGCCGCCTAGGCAGGCGCCCAGACCCAAACCTTTGGCCTATGTTGTCTTTTTTTAAAAGTTCGACCCCCACACACCCAGTTTATAAATCATACAAGTAACTTCATGTATAAAACTAAAAAGAAAAAAGGAAAAGTAAAAAACAATATTCATTCGTTTTGGGGGCAAGGGCTTTTTTATTAAATTGTTTTCCAAAGACCCAAACTACATATCAAAATGAGAAAAAAATAATCCAAACAGACAATAACATAACAAATATATTCACAAAGTATCACAAAAAAAAATACAAATAGCAAAGAATAACATCATTAGACATTGTGGAAAAAGAATACATATCCTAATAAAAACTATTGAGATATACCAACCTTCTTGAAGTGGATTCGATATCGGACCAAACCGCAATGTTTGGGGTCCCAAATATCCTCTTTTACAATCATTATAAGCGTAAAAAAGATTGCGGATAAATAAAAAAGATTGCGGATAAATATCCTTTAATATCGTGACCATTCGAGTTATTTCTCACTACAATCATCATAAGCGTCAAAAAATTTCGATCTCTCAACAAATCTTCAAATCTAGTTTTTCTTCAAGTTGTTTCTCACTCTAAACTTCACAAAAAATGTTATTGGGGATAAGAATGGACCCAAACCCTTTTCCCCCTTTTAAGGGGGTAAAATTTACAATTTGTCCTTTCCCAAGTTTTTTTTTCCGCCAAGGATCGAGGCAGCGCCTAGGAGCCCGACTTTTACACCACCTAGATGGGCGCCTAGAAGAACCCTCCTAGAATAAGCTGTGTTGTCCACGACTAGACGTTTCTTAAAAAAGGTGGCCTAGGAGGCAAGGCGGCCAAATTTTTGTTCATTGATATTATTTAATTATTTTGGAATGAAAATAAGCTGCTCATATGAAAAATGCTAAAATATTAAGAATATCATCTGTTGAAAAACATGGATTGGACATCCCAAGAATCTAGGGGTCCTAGCCGCTTGGGCAGCCCCCTATGCGGGGGCCTGAATTTCTAGGTAGCCTATATAGAATGTCCAAACCAGAGTTGAAAATCAGATTATTATTTTTTAGTTTTTTTTGTTTCTTCGTATTCATTCAAAGCTGGAGGAGATCCATCATCCATCTCTAATGGGACTACTCTAACGGTGGTCATCACCTCAGAGGTTCCTTCCACAAAAAAATAAACTCTTCTTCCCTAAGACTATAGCTGGTAAAGCATGGGCTCTCCTGCCTCATGTCACCAACTCTAAGATAAATCCCAACCATGAATTCTTGGTCCTCATTCCTCTACCGCTGCGTCAAACTCGTAAATCTATATCTTACATCTATCTCTTTTTCCACAGTCTCGTCCATCCAAATCCCACCTATTTATTATGGTTAAGAGGGGACCATGTCATACAGAATTGTGCGAACTATCGAGAGATAAAGCTTACAGAACCATACTATGAAGCTCTGGGAGAGAGTGATTGAGCAACCACTAAGGCATGAAACTAGTGTATCTGAAAACGAATTTGGTTTTATGCCAGGCAGGTCAACAACCGATGCTATTTTCCTATTTAGGCAACTGATTGACAAGTTTAGGGCGAAGGAAAAAGATCTTCACATAGTCTTTACTGTTCTAGAGAAAGTTCTACCTTGAGATTTGATTTGGTGGGTAATGGAAAAGAAAAGAGTCTCTAGACATTGCATCAACTTGGTGGGAGATATGTACGACGGAGCACTAACTAGTGTATGAACAACTAGTGAAGACATGAGAGAGTTTTAAGTGACAGTAGGTCTACATCATGGGTCAGCCCATACCTCTTTGTCTTAGTTATGGACAAAAGTTAGAACTTTAGAGGATGCTTTAAAATCTAAAGGTTTTAAAATTAGTAGGACTAAGACAGAGTATATGGAATGCAAGTTTAGTAATAATAGGAATAAAGACGAGGAAGTAGTTAAGATTGACAGCCAGGAAATACTAAAAAGACCGCACTTTCGATATCTTGGGTCGATAATTTAGGATATGTTTGATAAGCACGTAATATTCAAATATTTCAATATATTATGAGATATAGATATTCTTTACCACAATATGGTTAAAGCCGCATTTGATGGAACCAAATTGGATTGTATGAGATTTGAATATCACCCCAAAATCAATATCTTCTGAAAAACAGGTGGGACTTGAATTTAAAAAGATTTGAAAAAACACTCACTTGCAGCGTTAAATTTATCCAACAGAAAAATATGTCTCTCCCTCTCTTGCATCTTATGAGGCTCCCCTCCTCTCTCTCTCTATCTTCCCATCAACCAGAAAAGTACGTCTCTCCCTCTGTCTCTCGCTCTCTCACATCTTATGAAGCCCCGCTCTTTTCTCTCTCTCTCTTTATCTTCCCAACCTGGTCATTACTTTCTTTTCTCAATAGAGTGCCTCGGCTATACTTATTCTATGGGTGTGTTGTTTCTTGACGGGCTAACATTCTGCCCCATAAAGCAAAGTTGGCTTCACAATTGTCCTATCGAATTTCCTTTTCAACGTCATTAGTATGTGGTGATCACATAAAACTCTGGTTGCACATCTCCACTTCGCCTACCCATCTCTAATTCTATGTGTAACAACTTCCTCAACCTCTCCATCTTTTTGGAGCAGCAACATTGAAACCTTCAAAGATCCACATCCTTGCTCGAGGGCTAGGTGACGGTCCTCATGCTCTTAGAAAGTTGGAGCCAAACCTAGCACACGAAAGAGTTCAATGATAATGATGTTCAGCAAGATGCTTTTATCTCTTTAGTCCATAGACTAATTAATCCAAACTATTAATAGTCTTGTTGGAATCTTTATAATAATTTTTTTCTGGGCATGTGAGTACAGATGCAGATCTATTACAGGTTGACATGACATATGTATCTATGAAGAAATTTCCTAGTATGTGCAAACTATCGCCCATAGGGTCTAATGTTGTGAACTTAATAATTCAACAGGAAGGAGGAGGCATCTAGACATCTCGATTTTCCAAGGAAAATCTCTACTGCCCACAATCTCCCTTATTCTCTCATAAGATTTGTCTACCAATATCCCCCAAACTGCTTGTCTACCAATATCCCCCAAACTGCTAAGATGCTAAGCTCATCTGAGCACACCCAGCTACCTCTATCCTCCTAGCACTTATCCCTTAAATTTTTCTTATTTTCTCTTTCCATACACCCCAAGCTTTACATTGGACAACATGTCAACAAGTTCCGAGATCTCTAAAGAGATATATTGCCATCCACTTGTTGCCTTTTTTTAAGTGTTTACTGTTGTATTGTGCCATCCACTTCTTAAGAACCTAAAAGTGTCTCCAAAGGAATCTGAGCAATCATGATGTGTATATACACCAAATCCTCATTGAAAATGTGATTCTATTGTGTCTATCCACCTAATGTCAACGCACATGAACATTATATATACAAGGCCAGGATGGTGCAAATCGTTTCCCCTAAGGAGCTTGTTCTTAGTGGTCAATTGCATGAAACTCATCACTCGAGTAATTGAAATATTCCAGGAATGGACTCACGGCTAGGTGGTTAGGGTGGCGGGTCGCCACAACATAAGGTCTTGAGTTCGATTCCTATCACGGGTAAGGACCCTTCCCCACTGAATTACCCAAAAAAAAAAAATTTGACATATTCCAATCATAATTTTTTGTGTGGAAGGTATTAGAATGGGACCTTAACAAAAAAAAGTAGCAGAAGAACACCTACACCAACGTATCGATTCTCTACTTTGGATGTACAGCAGCCCTAACAACCCCAACAAACAGGTTGACTTTATTGATCATCTTCTAAAAAATCTAAACCAACCTCTTCCTCAAGGCAATCCACAATAATGACCTCCTTATCCATAATAGTACCAAGAATATGCAACTTATACTTCATATCAAACCCACAAATGAGTCCACTGTTGTTAGTAACCTTTCCTGTAGTTTTTGCTCCAATTGTATTCAGGTTTAGAGGCTGAGTCATTACAACCTCTAATCGAGTCAAAGGCAAAAGATGACACATAATATAGTTGCTACAACAATGCTTACATACAATCTCATAGAATTACACATTTACATTTTCCTAAAAATAATAGAGATGCAAGATTTAGTTCTCAACCATATTTAGTTCTCTTCAACAAATAAACTTGTCGAAATCAATACAATAGAAAATGGCGTTTGAAGTACAATATCCAATAATAAAATTCACTACAAAGAGTCGGGAGTTTAGTGTGAAAAGAAATATGTCAAAGCCAAAAGATAAGCATCATAATAAAGTATACAAGCTCATAATATCAGATATTTACATTGTCCTAAAAATGTAACAGATATGATGCATGATTTAGAAATCAACCTCATTTCTCTTCAACATAAGACAAATAAACTTCTTGAAATCAATAGAATAGAAAACGGCATTTGAAGTACAATATCCAATAACAGAAGTCACCATAAAGATTTATAGAGTCTAGTAAGAAAAGAGATACTTTTACAAGCCTCTCTAACATGTTGTTTCGATAGTAAATTGAAATCATAAGTTTGCATGACTTCCATGGAACTGAATGCAGATCATGTCCAATTCTCTTCTGCCAGAACATGTGAGCTTCCTCTGCTCTGTCATCTTTATCGAGTGCACATATCAACTGCTCATATGTATTCATGGTGGTGCCTTGCCCCTTGCTTAGCATCCACTTTATCACCTGTAGAACACAGTGTGATTGAATAACAAAAGAAGCTTAGCCATACACTATCCAGGTGGAGACACTACTCCAATGTAAGAGAACATCCTGTTCGAAAGATGGTTTCACGTTGACATCCCCATTCTATTGAACAGACAACAAGTAACAAGGAATCATGAAACTTAATAAACAAATTGAGAGGTTGATGCACTATATCTTACAAATTACACACGCACTACACATACATAGGCAATATTAGATATATAGGTTGCACATATTGAGAAAATATACAATGCTACAATTATATTACAAGATTATAACTACAACAAACATAAAATCATATAATATACACTATAAGTTTGATGCAAAGAACTTGAAGAAACAATAAATATCAACAAGAAAACCACCAGACACATGCAATTTTGGAGAAACCCTAAGGTTTCCTCCCACCTAGGGCTGAAGCCTTAGGCTTCGTTTTTCAAGACGGTCTTTATTTTTTCTGAAAAGAGGAATACATTATCTTTTTTCTCCAGCCCATCCACGTCCCTCTTTTCTATTAAAAATTTATTGTTTTAGCAATATTTTGTATTAAGAAACAATAAAAATAAGTAAGAAAACAACCAAACACATGCAATTTAGGAGAAACCCAAGGTTTCCTCCCACCTAGCCATAGGTTTCTTTTCTCAAGACAAGTCTCTCTTTTTCTGAAAATAGGAATAAATGATCTTTTTCCTACTGCCAATCCATGCCCCTTTTTTATATTAAAAATTTATTGTTTTGGACAATATTTGTTCATATAATTAACTTTTGACCAAAAGGTCCTAACTTAAGTATAACTTGAAATTAAAATCCCTAACATTAATTAAAATATATATAAATTCCCTAAATAGTCCAGTAATCATCATCATCATCATGTAATGAAATAAATAAATAAAATAATTGAAATAGCACCAAAACAACTTAAAAAGCAATTCATTTTATTCCTTGCTTTTCTTTGTTTTTCTTGGAAACTCTCCTAGGGTTTTTATCCTCCAAATATGTACGAGAATTAAGAGGAATCTGTCGCTCCCAAAGAAGATACTCATGGCTACTCGTCATGCGCTACTCATCATCATTCTCCTTGGATTGAGGAGAACTCGCCTCAAGTTTGAATCTTCATCCTCAAACTCTTCGGAACACAATACTTTGACAGAGCAGCAATATTGAAGATGTTTGAAGTCCCTAAATTTGAATGCAAAGCGATCTTGTAAGCGTTGCTGCCCAACTTCTTCAAAATCATGGTTCTGCCTTATGATCATCCAGCTTGCTGTACTTTCCAACTGGACGTTGTTCCTTCCTGAGATACATTATTATGCAGTATCCCACATTAAGCTCCTTGAAACGGCGATGCATGTCCGCTGCATCTTTGTATTTGGTTGTATTGGCTTCTAGACTAGCACATAATGCACCTGATTCATCTGTTCAACCAAGTCCTCAACAGTAGCATAACCCTCCACATTGGCTTCGATAGGAACCAAGTCAAGTGAATTAGTAGGGTCTTTCCCATATCACCTCGAACATACTCTTACCAGTAGACCTATTGGGGACACTATTGTAGGCAAACTCGCTTGAGGCAGCGATAGGTCTCATTATTTCTTCTTTTCCATCAGAATACTTCTCAAAACATTGCCAAAACTATGGTTTACCACTTTAGTTTGGTCATCTGTTTGCGGATGATAAGTACTACAAAACTGTAATTGAGTGTTCAATTTCTTCCACAAAGTTCCCAAAAATAGTTGAGAAACTTCATATTGAAGTATAAGTTAGCAACGATGTGTGGCATACATGATCTTCTTGCAAGGTATAAAATGAGCCATCTTTGATAATCTATCTATTACCACGAATATGGAATCCATACCTTTTTGAGTCCGTGGAAGTCCCATCACGAAATCCATGTTAACATCCTCCCAAGGTGCATTAGGCATAGGAAGTGGCGAATAAAGCCCATTATTCTGTTATTGCCCTTTAGCTAGCTGACACGTACGACACCTCTCAACAAACCGCATAACATCTCTCTTCAATTCTAGCCAGTAGTACTTGGACTCCACCAATCCTATGGCTTTGTCTCGTCCAAAATGCCCACCATAACCTTCCCCAAGAAGCTCTCTATTCAGGATTTCATCAGTTCATATAAACTCCATGTATCTCCCCGTACGTCTTCCCAGATGATTAATTAATTTTCAATAATATTTATTATTTTTCTGTGAATTTTCAAGAACATATATTGTACTAAAAATTATAATGGAAGTTTGTTTAAAGCTCCTAGATCGTGTCTATTTGTTTTGACAGTAAAACTAAAGATCCTAAGTTGTATCTAGGGTATTAATTTTAATTTATAATAGTATATAGTGGCCTATTTAACTGAAATTCAAGTATATTGAATAACAGAAAAAAAAAATTAATATATTGAGTTCCACAACCACTTCTTTCAATCCCCTCGACTGAAACAACATAACCAAGAAAGATTAGGGTGTCTGTCATGAATTCACACATGTTAAGATTCACATACAGCTATTGTTCCTGTAACAAGTCAAACAGGAACCATAAGTACTCCATATGTGCCTGCTCACCAATGTTGATCATCAAAGTATACCACCACGAATTTCAAAATAAAATGCTTAAACACTTGTTTTATCACCCAAAAATGAAAGGTGTAGCTATGTGGAACTCAAGGTATTGAATTAAATTTTTATTTTTATTTTTATTTCAAATGCCTGAATTCCACTTACATGGACCATTATATGTTACTGTAAATTAAAATAGTACCCTCGATACAACTTAAGATCTTTATTTCTACTTTCAAGAGCTCTAAACTAACTTCCACTATAATTTTTAGTACAAAATAAGTTCCTGAAAACTTACAGAAAAATAAGAAATAACACAAAAAATTAATTAAAACTACTGAGAAGACCTATTGAAAGATGCTTGGAGTTACCCTCACAGGTCGTACATCCACACTCGATCCCCTTACAGATGGAGCACTTTGAGTTGGAAATTCTGATATAGGCAAGCTTTGTATGCAATACTTCTTTTTCTATGATTTTTAAAGAGCTCCAAAACAACTAGGGTTTATAGAAACCCTATGTGAACAAACTAGGTTTATTTCTCCCTTGGCTGGTTGTACATCTCTTTTTCCACATAAAAAAAAAAAAAAACCTTAAGCTCTAGGGTTTTCATATGATACCACCTCCTTTCTTTTATTTTTGGGTGGTGCGATACACCTAAAGGAGAGAGGGTGGTGTGACACAAATATAGAGGAGAGGGTAGCGTGCCTCCCTATGGGGTAAAAAGAGGGGAGGCACATGGTGGCTTCCAATTTTTTGAGAAAGAAAGATAACAAAATTGGCATGGAGAAGAAAGAGAATAGAGGCATGAGAGAGAGAGAGAGAGAATCTTTTTGCCTTGTTTAAAAGAGATTCAAATTAGGTGTTTAAATAGAAGGAAATCTATCTCTCAATTTGAATAAAATTTTCCTAGGTACGTCTTATCTAATTTGCAATTAGAACTTTTAAGATAATTTAGAAAATCTGTTGGATGAAAAATTCAATTAGAGTCATCCCGACCACAAATCAGCAATTGGGTGGAAAGATTTTGACCCACGTCCAACTCCTATTTAAAATTGAAAAAAGATCAAACTTATCATAATCTAGATCTCCCATAATCAAGGATAATCTGAAATTTAAATAATTCCCATAGAATAGGAAACCAAATCTAATTTGAAATAAAAAAGATTTCCTATCTTTTAACCCTTTCAAAGTTTGAACCAAATTTTACGAAAAATGGGGGCGTGGACGCTATAACGTCAAAAGAAAAGGCGTGCCATTTTTTCTTTAAAAAGTGGCGTGCCCACTTTTTTTGTTTAAAAAAAAAAAAAAGGGTGTGCCTCCCTAAGGGTTAATGTGGGCCCCACATGGGTGGCACACACATGTAGGGGCTAGATCATTGGTCTCACATGTGTATTATCAAGTTATGAAATTTCAAAAATAACTTTTTAAATGAAAATTACAGTAGAAATAATATTTTAAAATTATAAAAAATATTTTAAAATCCTAAAAATATTTTTAATACGAAAACAAAATATACTAGGAGTGGACTAATATCAATGAGTCAAAAATAACGACAATAAGGTCACTCCACTCACCCTAAAAACCCTAATCCACTTTGTTATCTTATGTAACCCAACAAAGACCCATGACCCACAAAGACCCATGACCCACAGTGGGACCATGATCTTGGAATGTGAATTTCAGTTATCCCCTTTAAGAGCAAATCTAACACTTGTCACCACAGTACAAAAAAAGGCTCTCTATATGCATATGTACATGTGTCCCTCTGTAGGACTGCTTCCTAGTAATACAACTGTCATGTATACATGCCGTGTGGAAGTTTGTTGAGGCTTTAGCCTTTGCTCTCACATACCCACAACTGCACACAGGAGACCATACAATTCTCTTGGCCTATAAGAATCATCCTTCGGCATCTCTCCGACCTCAACAAGGGATGGCCCATTGCAAACCTTTATTGATTATGCTACATGCCAAGGGATAAGGGTTTTGGACATGACCAGAGCTATGAACTGCGCAACCCTTGGTCAGTAATACACTCCTGCTGAAGAGCATATTCCACTATAAAATATCATATCTACAAGGTCTCCAGGCCTTTAAAGGCCACAAAACCCAACTAAAAGAAAGTATTAGGTGCATTGGAGAGGCCAAATGGTATCACCAACCACTCATAAAGGCCCTCTCGGGTTTTGAATGCAGTCTTCTACTCATCTCCGGGTCGGTGGGTTGCCCTAACAAACCACTTCTAGAAATTTTGTTTTCAGGTTAAGAATTGTTTAAGTGATTTTTAGAAATTTTTAAAATCATTGTCAGATGTATAACCTCTCCAAGAGATTTTGAGAATAATTTGTAGTTAGAGAATCTTGTGGAAATATTTGAAAAAGACTGTATGACCCTATTTTGTAGGAATAGAGAATATTTTGTGTTTATAAAATTTTCTATCAATTGTTGAAATTGACCAAATCTTTTTGACATTGAATTCCTATAATCTTTTTGACATTGAATTCCTATAATCCTATAAGATTCCTATAATCTTTTTGACATTGAATTCCTAGTCAAAATAGAAGATATATTTTGATTGGTTTTATCCTAGGTTGACCAGAAGTGGATGTGGTTCAAAGAATCAGGGGATAAGGTTCCTATTTTCCTCCCTAAATCACGATTTTTTGGGATGGATGGCTCACACTGATTGTCTTTCTCACCTAACAGCTTACCTAAGATTCTATTGGCCAAGATGAGTTATAACTAGATAAGGCATACCTACACGTCCAACCCTAATTGATCAAGGGAGGTGCCAGTGGTGGCATTGCCCTAGAAAGGCCTTACAAGGTTCTAGAGAAACCCTATTCTTGTTTTGTGCTCTCAAGCCCTAGATCTGAAAAGGGTATTGGCTACAGAGTTTCCCGACTCAAAGAATTCAGCAAGGCCAAGATAATCAGAGTGCACAATCTGTCAGGTAATCAGGTGTGGGGTGTATCCAAAGCTAAGGGGGTCAACCTAGGCAAAGTCGAGTAAGTTTTCCCAGCTATTCTTGGTTTATTTAACAGTCATTAATACTATTTAATTGCAATTTTCAGGAACATTATTTGTATTAGAATTTACACTAAAAGTTTGTATTCAGCCTTGGATTGAGTTGTATTTATTTAGCAGCAAAAAGAAATATCCTAGGTTGTATTTAGGGTTTCTGTAAAGGTTGTATTTGGATTGTTTTATGTTGACAGTACAAAAAAAAACATTGTTTTATGGCACTTGTAAGTGGAATTCAGATATACTAATAAACGAAAGAGAAATTTTTTTATTTTACTCCCTAGAATTGCACAGCCATTTCTTTCAATATATGTACATTTGTACTTGACCACCCGACATGTAGGCTGCCTTTTCCCATTGCTTGTCGGAGACTTTTGTATTAGCTACCTTATCAATATGACTACTGTCATCATTAGTTATCAGAACTTTCCACTTGTAGCAACATCTTGATGTTCTGGCAAGAAGCATACAAAACTGAAACCATACACTAAGACATAGAACCGTGCTCTTCTCAATGTTTACAGTTTTAGACATGAAGACATAGAAACCATCTTCTCAAGATTTAGAGTTTTAGACATGAAGACATAGAAACCATGCTCTTCTCAATATTTAGAGTCGTAGACATGTTCAACAGTTGCATGGTGTACCAAATTATGATGGATAGCTGACCATCAGGAATTACCATTAGAAACATAAATGAACAGATGGTATATTGTTGTCTCACTAGATAGTCAACCAAAACGAACTAAGAAAATTTACAACGAAAATTTGTAGCACGAAACAAACTAAGAAAATTTACAAAGTAAATTTGTAGCATAGATATAAAGAAGTAAGAATGAGGGTGTACTTGAATAATTTGGTGCCATTGTTGCTCCTTCTCAAGAATAGCCAGTGTTCTCTTCAATGAAACTATGGGGAACTTGTGTTCCCATGCAACCCAAGCATCAAGAGCACCATAAACGGCTTCTTTAGATGCTTTCAAATGAAGAACCTGACAATTTCAATTTCTCAGCTTTTATTACTCGTTATGTTAGAAAAAACTTCGTTTTCAAGTGGGCATTGTAAACAAATCACTTTCTTTGATAAGCGTCAGAAGAAAAAAAAAACATTAACATAACTTTGCAAAGTTATTTCAATAAGACTGTCCAGATAGCAAATGATTATACAAAACTGGACATTGAAAAGAAAAATATTTCTTAACCATGAATAACCAAGTATCAAGGACATATGCAAACATTACAAAAGAAATGGGAAATCCATCACCATTACTTTATCCACACCAGATAAAAAGGGGAAAAGATCAAACTGAAAAGGGAATTCGAAACACCATACTTTTAGAAGATTGCCCAGTTCAGCAGGGTCAACTCGATAAGACTCGGCTCTGGACCAGGCGAAGTACTAAGCCGATAGGCAAATCTAAGTTTATAATAATCATCATCGTCATCATCCAAGCCTTCTCCCAACTATTTGGGGTCAGTTCGAATCTAAGTTTTTAGTCATTGAATTAAATCAATGGCATGCTAATTCTATTGTATCTTTTGAAGTACCTCATCCAGAGACAATATATCGTGCCGCAATTCTTAAAGTAAATAAGTTCATGAACACAGAGACACCCTAAAACATTCTCACTTTACAGTAAATGCCAACTAATCAACTGAACTTTCCCTTTCATAGCAAACATCTACAACCATCTAGTCTAATTTCTAATTCCTATAGCTAATGTTTTCCACTAATGAAATAGCTCCACAAAGACAATTCAGATAATTGTAATAAAAAAGAAAAAAAATAAAAACAACACCAAAGATTTGAATACCAACTTGAGCAAGCAAAGGAACAAAACAAAAAAAAGCAGGTCATGAAAAGAAAACACAAAATAAATACCAGGTAGAACAAATGTATCATACAATGCCATCTTCTTGGACAGTTGTGTCCCAAAAGGTGCCTTGTACTTACTGTATTGACAAGAAATTGCATCTTATCTTTCTTTCCGATGTTCTCCCCAATTTCACTCTTGCGCACATTTCCCATGTCACTATTTAGATCTGGTTGCATTGCCTGATTATAATGCCGGACCTGTGACAGCATACTTCTAAAGTTCACTATTTTATTTTTACCATATCAATTCAAATTTGCATATTTCACATTTTCAGCAGCAAAGAATCAAATCCTCCTTGGCAAACCAAGAATACAAAATAATTCAACATGGGATCAGATACAATGAGTGCAGTTACTTTTTGGTTGGAAAATTAACCACACCCCAAACCTTCAGATGTGAAGTCACACAGCTTGGGTGCATCATTCCTCCATCCAAAGTGTGTTGAAAATTTTAACAGCCTTTGAGTGGAGGAATGCACACCCCAGATATCAGCATTCACATCTGAAAGTTTGGAGTGTTATTCTTTTTCCATTTGTGAAGTAACAGCATCCATTAATGTCATACAATTAGCGACATTGTATGCAATGTTTTTTAATTGATTACCATATCTTGTCTTTGGCAGAAAAGAAAATGAATTCCAGCCAATATCAGAGAGTGACCAGTAAATAAGCACTTAGGGCCCAAGAATACGTAATCAAAGTAACAGGAGCAACTGAACAAGTTTGTTTGTTCTGTAATTTCCCCAAGTTCTCTACACTACCAAGCCAAAAGAGTGAGCCATCTAATCAACAAGCCAAAAAGTAGGTTGTCAACACCACACACAATCTGGCACAAGTAATAGCTAAGAAGTTCAAAAGAAAAAAAATGAAGAACTTCACAGAAAGAAACACATAAGCCCACAGACACAGAAAGAAACTAGGAGTAATAACATTAGATTTTCCATAACCATCAGTATGTTAAAGTCAATCCCAAAAATGTTATTACACGAAACAAAAAAAAATAGAGTTTCTTTTAAGTTATACAGCTACATAGTAGGAAACTCGGCTTATATTAAGAAAAAGCAAAAATCCAAAAGGACCATTCATCTAATCACATGTGCAAACACAAGACTACATACAAAACATATTGTTCACAATCCATTTACTCATAACATGCTGCAGTTAAGACTCCAGATCACTAAGTTCGCATGCATGTATGAAGTTCTATTATGGAGAAACTACAAGAGCAAAGCATAAAGAAACACAAAAAGGGAAATTTTTTGTTTTAATAACATAAAAATAGCAATGAATTCATTTATCTCATTTGCAGTGACCTGCTGAATGAGACATTTAAACGCATTCTCTGGGGTTCAATTCAGCAGCAGATCACCTCGCCAAGGAAGGAACCCACAACACCTTTCCCACCGTCCTATTCTCACAACAGGTGCGCTAATTTAACCATATCGCTTATTTGATACCCTCCCCTCCCTCTTCCCTCTCTCTGCCCATACTCTCTGATCTCCCCCCAGAAATAAAAAGAATGAAAAAGAAAAAAAACAAAAAAAAAGAGGAAGTAAAATATATAAAAAAGAAAAAAGAAAAAAGAAAAAAGAAAAAAGAAAAAAGAAAAAAGAAAAAAAAAAGAAAAAAAATTTTGTTATTAGAATTTCCATCAGATCCACCATTCTACCCTTCCTCTCCCCTTACCTTCTATCTTGGGTCTCTTGCTCGTTTCTCTTCTCCGCATACACCTATTCTGTCATTTTCTTCCTTACCCCTTAACTCTCCATCCCTACTCCACGGATGTGTAATCCCTCATCCTCCCTTCCCTCTCCTAATCCTCACCTCCCCTCTTGTTGGGCCCTTCTTCTGGATACTAGTTAGCTTGCAGGTAGCTTCCATGGGTCTATCAAGCTCGGCAGCTCAGAACTGGATTCCTGCCCTCAATCTCACCCCGAAGGCTCATGGTCGCTGCCTTGGCTGCAGTCAGATCACACCCTCACTTCGGCTGAGGATCCACTGCATGGACAGTTTTTACCCCTCGCATAGCAACACAGGGCCATGCTGCCTTTTTCTGTCTCGGGAAGGCCTTTTCAGGATTCCCCATTACTCTTCACATCTCTGTTATGTTCAAGGAATTTTAAACTCTCGCTTTCATTCCGTTATCTCTTTTTCTCTTTCTTTTTGTGTTCATTTCTCACACCCCGAGGGCCCCCTGTACTCACTCTCCTCGGATGGCATACTTCATTAAAACACTCTTTCCTCCCCCTGTTTGTTAATTTAGGTTTTAGCTCTCAGTTTTTGGTTTTGTTTTCTGGATCTCTCTGCTCTCCTACCTCTCTTGTTCTCTGAGCACCCGTCTTGTGGGCTGCCTTTGACCACATCTTGTGGTTTTTGTATATTTTCACCATTTTATTAATATAAAGTTCACCTTTCTCAAAAAACATAGCAACAAAGGTAAAGTTGCAATACAAAAATGAACTATGATGCTAACTCCGACACAAAGGCTATAAGAGTCAAGGGCAGTGTTCCAAAAAATGCTAGGCGGTGTCCAGTAATCATGGTTTAGGTCCAAATTTTATATAAAAAATGCATGAATATTCATGCATTTTTTATAATCCAAACAAAAAAAGCCCGGCAGCTTCATCTACTCCGAAAGCTTTAATAAGAAAGCAGGCTCAAGAGATTGAGACAACTTATATACCGCTGATTATTATTGAAAATGATCACAGGGAAAAAGACCCTGCTGAAATAGCATCCATATATTTACGCAATCATCTGCATCCTAATAGGGTCGATAGATGCAGAGAATAGTATGAGACCATACTTATGGAAACTGGGTCAATGTCAATAGTACACCATTATATTAATAATGACTCGGAAATAGCATATTCCAAGTTCCAAATTCATAAAATCATCTCTTCTAGAGATTGGGGTTTGAATCCTTCAAAACCAAGGATGATAAATACTAAAGGATTTAAAAATAAATCCTACCATTACTTTGAATACATCGAGGCATGGGATGAGGTTTTTGCCTACCAAAATACTAAGACCACACATAGCTGGTACGTACAGTTTAAAAGAACTGAATCAATAGAGTTTCCCAATTGGTTTAAAAGCTGGTTCCTGTTATGGGGATCATGTAGCCAGATACTTCCCCAAAAATTACAAATTTCACAGAGTCTAAAAAGAGACTATCATTTATATTTTATGGCCTTATATCAGGTCCCTTGGATATTAAAATGGGCACACCAACTCTCTGAGGATGGCATGGACCGATGGGATTATATCCCAGAGTTACGCCGACAGATATCAATTAAATGGTGGGATAGTTACAAAAATGATTCCCTGGACCCTGATAAGATTTACATGAAAATAATACCAACCTCCTCACCAACTTCTGATATGGGTTTTTCCGAATATATTAAGTTAATGCAACATAAAAACCCAACACTATCAAAAGCTGAGCTTAAAAAGAAGAAGATGAAGTAAAAATGCCTACTCCATCAAACGACGAAGAAATAGAAGACTATAGTTCGTTAAACGGCGATGACTGTGCATGGATTACCTTCTCCCCACTAAATTGAAGGTAAAAGCAAGGGACGGTACGACTCCAAAAACCCACTCAGGACACGTGTCCCAAAATCAAACTACCACCGACAAAAGAAGCACTATTGGCACTGACCAATCATTAATCTACAGTAAAAAGGAGCATTATCGCCACCAATCGCTGTAGAGGAATCTTACTTTTGTCAGAACTTTAACTTTTGCTTTATTGAAAGGGCATCTTACTTTTCGTGCGGATTTGTAATCCTTTGAAGTCCGACCTCCCCTCCTCTATATAAGGAGGTGAGACCCAAAGGGAAAAGCACCTGAAATGAATCTTGGGAGTTTTTCTGTCTTAGTTTTCTGCCTTTAGTTTTGGGTGTTTAATTCTGAGCGTTTGGTTTTGAGTGATTTGTTCTAAGTGTGAGCTTTGGTTGAGTCTTCTGTGTCTTCTGTCCGAGTCTTCTGAAGAAGAGGAACCACATTGGTCTTATATTGTCTCTTCGAGTCTATCTATGTAAGTGCCTAACCTTGTTGAATATTAAGTAATTGTTCTCTGTGCTTACTATCTTACGTGCTTTCTATGCTTTCTACCTTATGTGCTTACTATCTTACATGCTTTCTATGCTTTCTACCTTATGTACTTTCTATCTTTCTCGATTCTTATTATTAGTCTCTTCCTCTAATATATATATATAGATCTTCATGTTATTATAACTGGTGAAATAGACTTTGTACAAATCTGAAAGTTCCTAAGTGGAAATTTTGTTTTGATGCAATATTTAGTCAAAGTTTCAAATTGGTTTTATTCGTTAAGAATTGACAGTCACATCAGGAATTCTAGTATTATAAAACTTGGGGTGTGACACTTATGTGCTACATATCACTACCAATGTTCAAAAAGGCGTAGGCTTCGCCTAGGCGTTTTGGGGCCCTGACAGCCTAGGCGGCCGAGCGCCCGCCCAAGAACAGGGAGGGGGAGGGATTATTAATTAAGATAAGTATTATAATATAATTAGTATTTATTAATTAATATTCATGAGATTTGATTTTGGATATCAAATATTCACAAAATATCAATTTCTACCAAAGTTTTTGACTATTCACAAAATATCAATTTCATCCAATTACATGATGCCACATGGGTGAGGTTTTACACATGTGCACGAACCACAAATCTCAGACACAAAACATGTACCAAAAATCCAATTGTTGAATTTCTAAAAATCCATCAAAATCCACAACTAAAAAACTCCTTCAGTAACAAATAATTATATAAGATAGATCCCATAGATGGGATGATGTCATCCCCATGTCACCTCCACGTGAAGCAAACATGGACTCCCCACCAGCTCATGTGGATACCCATTAGCCATTTGGGTGTTATGTGTGGGTCCCTTAGGTCAGTCCTTATTTCTCATTTCTAGAAAACAATTATGTAAAATTCATTTTCTTGCTCAGAAAAAAGCCAAAAAAGCTACAAAAATTCTTAAAAAATAACCAAAGCTTTTCCCATCGAAATTACACATTTTGGAACCATATGAAATATATTTAAAAGAAAAATTAGGATCCTATGGAATTGAATAAGGTATCGGAGCACTCTACTTGGCTAGACCTAGAATCCAAAGTCACCTTCTCAGTATTGTCGCAACAAACCCATGACCCTAAGTGTT